CTGCCGTACACACTATAATCAGCCTCCACCGGACACCAGAAGGTGGAGCCACCCAATCCTGTAAGCTCAAACTGTAAGATGAAACAAACCTTTTCTTTCACAAAGAAACTCCTTTCAGGTATTCCAGTTAAAGTAACTTCAACAAACAGTAATTTGTTAAGTCATAAGGAATGTCATAAGCACAGTTCTCAAAGCTATGAAATAAATATACAAAATAATTGGAAGCTATTATATCTCAAATGCACATTCTCTTTGCCTCTAATCTCCTCATACTCCAATCCATTCCCCATACTGCCTTAAAATGCTCTTCTAAAGTAAAAACTATATACCATAAGGCAATCTTGTCCTCAGAACCTTGGTGTGGCTCTGCTCGGATGATAGACAAAAGTCCCAAGTCTTATTTTTTGGCAATGGGAGACCTAGAGTACTTCTGTCTTCCCCACCTTGCATCTTATACTGGAACTTCAGTGAAAAATGCATATTTCCTCCATGTGCACAATCAAGGATCAGATCAGTTGCTTATTTGCTGTGTAAACTAGATCAAATAACATCCTCTCTCAATTTTTTTCCTATGAAATAGAAATAATAATAGTACAGAACTCATGCGCTAGTTGAGGATGAGTAAGTACATTCAGAACAATGTAAAATACAGTGTAAGTATTAAATAAATGAAGGCTATTATTGCTATTATTTGCTAATGAGATTTTCTTTTACTGCTTTCTTGGCCAACAAAAGAATGCCCTTTCTCCTACTCTCCCCTCATACTCTTCTGGAAAAAACATTTATTCATTCCTCAAGACCCCCAAATAGTATCTTTCCTTTAAACTTTCCTTAACATGTCGATTCTCTTTAGAAGTAGTTATTTCTTCTATGCTCTCATGGCAAATAGAACTTCATTCTTCAATACCATTATGTACATTCTATGTATTAAGTATTAATACAGAAGATTGGCCTGGGTGTTTCAAAGGCAAAGGAGCTATCTTTCTCATTTTCTACTTCCTAAGCCCAGGGAAGGACCTGGAGAATAAGAGTTTCCCATAAATGTTTTTGTGAAATCTATTTTCAATCGATACATATGTAAAGGAATAGCATCTCTCAAAAAGTTTCTAATATTACTGGGAAACAATACAAGACAGTTGAAGAATAATACCAGGCGCAAATTCAATAGATTCAGTTACCAACCAGACTAAATTATAAAATACAATTAGTGTGCCTAAAATTTAGAGAAAGGTAAACAATATTAGTATTTATTATTTTTTATATTTTTCTCCTGTTATTCCAACTTTGCCTTGCCCAGTACATGTCAATTTGGTGTCTAAACTATGATCCTTCATACTTTTCATAATAAGATCATGAACTTTTTTTAATGAGGAAATAGTTCCAAGATATAAGTAAAATTAAATGGGGAAAAGACAGAAATGTGTAAGTCCATTTTTCCTTGTACTACTAATTAAAAGCATATTGTGCTCTGTGCGCAAGTATGGACAGGGAAGGGATGATATTCACCAATGCACCACATATGATACCCATGTTTGTTTTTCAGAATTAAAAGAAGAATTTGGAAATTTGGTGATGGTTCAAAGTCAAGTAACGATTAATAGCAGAGCTGCTTAAAAGCAGTTAAAGAAATTCAGAATATTTTCGGTAAATGCATGTAACAATGAAAGTAACATGAATTTTAATTATACTTACACTCCAAATAAAACTGAAATGTGATAAATAGTCATGAACATTCTAGTAAAGAAATATAAAATATAATAAGAGTTGGAATGCTTATGGGTTAAATCGGATGGTTTTTTTTTGGGGGGGGGGGGCTCACAGCAGTGCTCAATCACATATGTTGAAGAAATAGGAAAGGACAAAAACCCTGAGATCAGTTAATAATGATCTCCGCATTCATGAAAGTTCTTAGAAGTCTTTTCTTAACATCCAAGGGGGGGGGGGGTGGGGAGAAGAGTACATATTATATTATAAATTATACACGTAACTTCTGAAGAAAAATTTTGAAATAGGTGTACTATGAAGTACTAAGTGTGCATTAAGTGATGATATAAAGCTGTTTTCCCTATAGTCTTAAAAGTAGGGCAAATTCCCATATGGTAAAGATGGAGTAATTGTACTTCTACCCAAGGGTAAAAGAAAGCAGTGAGATAATCACTCAAATTCCTTCCAGATTTTGGATTGTGTAAATACTCTGATTAGTGACAACACATTGACTATCTGCTTTTCTCACGATATTTTAAAAACAATCCCAGAGTCAGAATTTCAAACATTTGCTAAATCTTCTGCCATTAGTCCATACTTCATAACAGGTTTTCAAAACAAGAACTATACATTAATCTGACCAAATTATGAAATTTACAAATAACCCAAGGTTAAAAAAAAAAAAACTGTTCAGTGGGTTTAGATATAAACTGTATCCTCTGCATTGTTTAGCTTCATCATGAAAATTACTTTAATTTCAATGCTGGAGTCAAAACAATCCAGTCTTCTTAAAAGAAGGCTACTGTCTACTGTAAAGTAATAACAGGTTTTTAGAGACTTTTAAGTGTGTATCTTGGAATTTCTAACTTAAATGCATGGTTTGGAAAATACCAATCATTGATCATGAAAGGCTGGTTACACTTCATGATGACAACGAGGCAAACATAAAGAGCTTATGCTCTTATTTTCTCATGTAACTACTTCATATGATGTATAAAAAAAAGCTTCACATAGTTAATAATATTTGGGGAAAAAGTCATTCAAATACATAAGCTAGATGTCTATTTTCCAAAAGATATTTTCATCTTGTGTTTCAATATATTCAAAAAATTTAAGCTTATAGCCATATAACACAACAGTTGTAGAAGTAAATACTGATGCAATCAAGAGCTGAAAAGAAACTGTAGAGTTTTACTAAGAAACATTAGAAGAGGAGTGTGAGAGTTTGTAGGGAATAAAAGGGTGAAAATGAATCACAGTCATAATGAAAGTTATTTTACAAGTTTGATGATTAATCAGTTATTTAAACTTATATCATGATATATTACACCAAAGTCATATGCTTTCTTTTTTGACAATTGTGGAAAATTTTAACTCGTCTAAAATAAGATAATTTTATTAGCATAAGTAACCTCAAATATCACTAAAATGTTCTTTTTGCAATTTGCTGCAAGAAAATTTGTATAATGCATGAGTAAAACTGGCTTCTTTAATCATTTTAAAATTTGGGTTCCTTTGAAAAGAAAAAAAAAAACAGTATTTATAGCTCTATGTTCCTAGCACATCAAACATCTATTCTCAGAAAAAGAAAGGTCACATTGTTATATTCAAGAATCAAAACTCTACATTAAGGAAAATATTACCGTGGTCTTAAGAAGATTTGCCATTAACTGAATAATAGCTACCTAAAAGTAAATGCCATTCTGGTCAAAACAATGGCTTAATATTAACTCAATGAGTAAAATATGTGCATCTGTTAACTGACTGTATATTTTCTTCATATATTCCTTTTATGAGAACTAATTAGCAATATATCTCATCATCTCCCCTACTCACCTACACTAATTAGCAATATAAAAATGCCCACATGTTAGGGGTTGGGTAAAGAACAAGACATAAGACTTCTACAAATCAATTCACCCCCTTATACATCAACCTTCTCTTTCTACAAATGCTACTACTATTGGTAGGTTTTGAAAAACTACTCATGTGTGTTCTACAAGTAATAATATTTAGTTCATCCACAAGATGACCCCCAAAAATTCTCCAATAAAGCGTTATACAAACAACTGTCTACCATCAACAAACATAAACAACCATATCACATTTAGCCAGGTAAACTATGCTAAACATGTGGTATCCATCAAAGGCAAGCTATATCTTTCTGAGGATAACTTTTGTCAATGTACTACGCAGTAGAGGAAGTAGACAAACACTTCAGTTGAGAAGAATTCAGCTAAATATTAATTTTTAAAAATTAGATATCTTCAGTTTATTTGTTGGTTGGAAATTGAGCCTGCAGTCAGAAAATCACTATTATAGGATTTCCTTTATAAGGCACTAACTCCCTTTATTGCTATAACCCTATTAAATAAAACTGAGGTATAGATGCCTACTTTTGAAGGTTATCTAAAACAGAAAGAAAATAAATTCTTTAATGATATCTGAAAAGGCCTAGCTTTTTAAAGTAAAGGTGATCTAACTTTATTGTGTTTTTCCTTACCTTTCATTATTACACTGCTTTAAGGAATCCATCTAGTGTGTTTATATTCCTAGTATAGATATACATCAAGGTAGCAGTCACAGTGCAAATTTTTACTGAAAGTTTTTTAATTTATCTACGTGGCATTCTCAAAATATCTATAAACTCTAAGTCACCTTTTTAAAACAAGACGTTCTGAAAGATAACAGCAGTGTAGAATCATAAATAAAACATTAACCATTAATCATGCAGTTTCAAAAGTTGAAACTTAGTTTTCCCTTCCGTTAAATAGTGTAAAGATGCATGTCAAAAATTAAAAACTCACTGGTTTATGCACTGTAATCATGGTGGCACATTAAGTTAAGTTTGACTGTATATATTGTCTCAAGAAATAAACTAAAACTAAGATGAAGGTATGTATTCTCCTGCCAAAAACAGACTATTAAAAATCATCAACAACATCACAAAACAAAAAAGTCACCAACCACCTCAACAGAGGTTAAATAAAAAATCAACCTTTCACAACTCCTTCATCACTCCATTTACCTAGAATTAACCGTGTGTTTTTCTAAGCAGTAATTTTAAAGATTCTCTACTGTAGAGGCTTATTTGTATCTGGAAACAGCAGGTAGCACACTCAGCACTTAGCATACGGTACATGCATGTATTCTTCAGCTGACCCATCTCCATTCATATCACACCCGCGCTGTGTATTAGAAACAAAACTTGAACGTTCCATTTTTTACATTTCAAAATCACTGCCGCTAAGGCAGGAAGGAGAAAATTCGCTAGATGCCTCCAAGTCCCGTCTTACCACGTATGTGCCACAGTGAAGCGACGACGCTGCCGAATGCTTTTATTCACCAACAACTTTCTGAAAAAGCACGGTGAGTTCCTCGGTGAGCTGCGTGGAGAAATTTTAGGAGATGTAGGTCTGTTTCCCGGTAGTCTTGGAAGCTCAAGTTCTAAGTGCATTTGCTCCTTGAAAGTCTTTATGCAAACCTCAGATTCAGAAGCAGTAAGTTCCTTTGAAGAATTTTTTGCTGTCATGTCTTGTATGGAGTGCTAGCTCTCACCATGCAAAACAAAAACCTCAAACATAGCAAAGACACTGCTGCAGGTTAGAAGGCTGAGAAGTCACACTCTTTTCCAGTTTAATTTGGGGAGCTGTGGCTCCAGGGTAGGAGCTGTTCAGAGCAGGAGCAGCATTCTCGAAGAATGGCAAGTCAGGCAGTCACAAGGAGCAGTATCAGCCTGGCTTTGCCTCTGAAAATGCGCCAAAGTGCTTCCTATGTCAGTAGCCTCCTTGTGGATGAGGTTTGTCTGCAAGCTACACACTGACACTCGCTGAATTCATTCAGCTGAATAGATCAACTCATGAAATATTCATAAGAGCTTCTGATAAATCCTTTACATGTATTTTTCCAAATCTTATCAGACGAGCTACATTCATTAATGGGTAGTAAGCAAAGCCTAGTCCCCTAGTCACTTGCTTTGTTCGCACAAAACGCGGAACCAGCATTTGTCATGCTTAAAGTCTTCATTCAGAATTATCTAGCTCCGTAATGCACACAACAGTAACTCCACCTACCAAATGCTATTGGCTCAGGATTATTTAAACAATTACACTCTGTTTCCCTCTCAACAACACCCTTCATCGCTCAGATTTTCTCAAAATCTGTGAGGTTACTGTCCTCATCAGAGTGAAAATTGACCAAATCAGGGATTGTCAAAAAGTCTAACTCAACTGCCTTCTACATTCCATTTCTGAATGAAAGCTAATTTGCCAAAGTTTTTTATTTCCTCTCCTTTCTCCAGTGGATCCCATACTGCATCCACATTTTAAAAGCTGTCAGCAAACAAGGAAAACACTGGAGTTGGTTCAATTCCCCAAGGAATTTAAGCCTAATTTTTATTGCCATAGACATGACCCCTCTCCTTCTAGTAAAAGCTAATTGTTCATGAGTGCTCACAACAGCCCCTCTATGCTAAAAACAGAACCACTTAAGACAGTCACAGCTCTTCAAACCTGAATTGGGGAGCACAAGCCAGAGACATGCAGGCATGGTACAAAGCCCACTATGCCCATGTTTGAGTGTGTAGGTAGGGACACAAGACACTGAATGCTTGTGCATGGGTATTTATACTTGGGAGTGAATGTGTGTGCATTTTGTGCACAAGGGATGCAGGTGACATGTAAGTGCAGGTGAGTTAAAAAAATGTCTCAAGTCCAATGGTAGAGCATTGTAACCTGGCATTCCATTTAGAAATACAGTGGCATGTAGATTCTATAAAAGGCACATGGGAGTAGGAAAAAAGGTCATGACTCTGAACTTTTGGGCTTTTGTGAAAAGTCTGTACCAGCAATAACTGCCACCAGGGTCAGCCTGATCTCAACCAAATCCAACAAAGCCGAACCAAGGCTCATCAGCAAGAATGACAAAAGAGGAATGAGTTGCAGTGCGATTTGAGGCGAAAAGGGTGACATTTATTTTTCCATGAAGGTGTGAGGTCTTCTGCCCTTACAAAACCATTTGTACACAAGGGAACTTCAAAAGCTTTGTGGAAAATGAAATGAAAAGGTATGTTTGTTTTGGGTCAAAAACATTTTGAAATCCATGTCGGGTTTCTTTTTTTTTTTTTCATAACGCACATTTTCCATGAACGTTTTGAAGACCCCTCTTGTGTCACATATATGGCTAAAAATGCGCTAAATGTCTAAACAGGCTACACGTGAACAGAGCTACATGTAAGAATAGATCTCAAACTACCCTTGGGCAGGTGGTTCAAACATAACAGGGAAGGCTTAACCTAGCTGTTGACATGGACTCCCTTGGAAAGTATGTTGATTTTTCAATCACTAATTGAAATATATTATGAACAAAAGCACCATCACAGAATTTTAAACTCATATTGAATCCTAGGAACCCCAACTCAGGTCCTCATTCCAAGGATGAGCTACAGAATTTAAGTGACTTATCCAAAGTCATACAGGTAGTTTATGTTAGAACTAAAACTGAAACCCAGGTTCTCTTATTCCCAACAGTGACAGCATTCATTCAATTGCAAGGTTTAATTTTGTCCAGTGAGGCCCTAGGGTGTACATTTTTTATATTTGAAGATATTTAACTGTCTTATTTGAAAACACAGATCACTTGTAATATCATGAATCACAGTACAATGTTATCTATTTTTGCTTTATTATGAAAACAAGCTGAGAACATTCTTCTGATTATATTATTTAAACAGGAATATGTAATTCTGTTAATTCGTCTTTATTCAGAGTGATTTATTAGCAAAACATAAAATAGCAATTTATAGTCACACAAGATATTTCTAATATTTACTTTTCAAATATGCCAAAATATAGTAAGCACTTGAGGAACTTCTTCCACAAAATATTATAGCAAATTTCAAAATGCACATTTAGTTGTATGTAAACAGCAGTTTTGAATGTTAAATTGCTAATGTAAACTTACCTTAACCAGCAAGACAGTGTGACTCAAATACTTTCTAATTGTAATATTGCCAAATTATGTGACATCATGTGGCATTAAGCATTACTCTTTTCACTTCACCTGCTTTGATAGCCAAAATCCAAATTAAAGACATTTTGAGAATCACTCTAAAAAAAAAGTTCTTAAAATATGTAAAGTCAATTAACTCCAAATACTCAAGAAAAAAAAAATAGGAATACCAGTTAACGGAAACACTAAACATAAAAGGTAATCGGACTGTTTGAAAATCTAAACAATTAATTATCTCCCAGGAAAGAAAATGCATATTTCTACGTAAATGCATGAAAGTGTGGGTCTAGAGGCAACATATATGAGATCAAAAGTGAATCTAGATGTAGGAAACAGGAAATACTAAGAAAAAATAAACAACAGCATAGTGAAAGCAAACATTCAGCTATGTTTCAGCAAAGAACAGTATTCTGAGAACATGAGAGAAAACAAATGGAGTTTAACTTCTCTGTGGAATGCCTAAAAAGCAGATTAGTGAATAAAATGAAAAACTTCCTGTACACATGTAATTCTTAGCCTTTGGCACCTCAAATGAAGGAGTGAGTAATGCTCGGGCAATTTATATGTGCACAGATTTCGCTCTTGGGAATTATTTCAGGATTCCAATTATAGCTATGTCTCAATTTTAAATAATGAAATTTCTGGTATCCACATCCTATCAAAGCAATAAGGATTGAGACTTTATCACAATAAAATACCACTGATGAATTTGAAAAACGTTGTATGTGCAATAACAATCAAATAATGTATTACTTATTATAAATATTATGGAAACATTTTGATTTTCATTCAATTGAAAAGGTAGGCCAATTAATCACACCCCAAAGAAAATTATCAACTTACAGTACAAACAAGTACCAGTACTTGGGGTACTGGTAATGTTTTGTTCTTAATTTGTGTGTTGGTTATGAGTGTGATCAGAGGGCAAAACATATTTATCTGCACACTTATGTACATTTACATTTGATGGTATGAATATTGTTTTTCAATAAAATATTAAAATATTTTGAAAATTCAAAAGCCTTATAAAATTATTTTAGATCAAAATAATTACATTCTTTTTATATCCAGTTTCATTTAGACATCAAAAGCTAATCTCAGGAGCAGGTATTCAGCCTAGCAATTAAGATGCCCACAATCAGCATCAAAGCCCCAGGGTCTGATGCCCAGCTCCAGTTCCTCATTCAAACTTCCTGCTGCTGCAGAGCCGGGGAGGCACCAGTGATGGCTCAAGTAATCCTATTCTTGTCACTCTCATGGGAAACATCACTGTGTTCTCCCAGTTCCTGGTTCTGGCCCCAGTCCAGCCAGAGCTGTTTCAGGCACTTGGGGAGTAAACCAGTGGATGGGAACTCGTGTTCTCTCTCTGCCTCTGCCACTCAAATAAATGTTCAATGGTTAAATAACATTATTAAGAGTTCAATTATATTATAAAGAGTATATCTTTATTTGACTATCAAGTTCCTTTTCCTCTAAAATGATACACCATCTGATCACAGATAGTAGACTCTGTTCATTTAAAGATATACCAGACCCCTGCCTTCAGTCAAAAGCAAGGTAGTAAGTTCAAAAGTACACCATCAACTGCAGTCTCCACTAGCAACAGTCCATAACAGTACCATCATGTGTAACTAGCTCACTACAAATTGCAACTTCCCTAGATTTTTCTATTTCAGTTTTAAGAAATGGAGCTAGAGAATTAGTCTACAGGACTGAAAAAAGTTAGAATCAATTGAATAAAAATAATTATCTTTCTTTGAAAACAACAATAGGCTGACAACACCTAAGAACAAAGAGACTAAAAACATGTAACTTACATTTATTGCATACCTACTGAGAGTCAGAGATGGTAGTGAGCACTTCTAGTAAATTACTTCTTTTGATCTCATACACTTATCTGACAAATACTATTCAAATTCCTTGTTCTACTTCTACACAGTATTAACTATATGGCCCTCTGGGGCTGGGCTGAGTCTTGCTCAATAGAGTAATACTATATTATGCAACAGAGTCTGGCACAGAGTAGACACTCAAGAAATAATTGTAGACGGTGCATTATTTTGTGCTTTTTCAGATGAGAAAATCACCACAAAAATGTGTAGCTTTTAAGGAACTGATCCAATAATCAAACTCAGGTCTTCCTATTTCTACTACAGCATCTATTTTATTACAGTACACAATTGCCACCCAAGATTTTTATGACAGAGGAAACCTAATGGAACAGATAGGGAAATTCAAAAGAAAACTTCAATAAAATCTTTCCCAACCTCTATAGGCAGAGGCAGCTGTTTCTTCTAATCTGTATCCACCAGCTTTGGGTGGATAAGCCCTTGGAATGTTCTGAAACGTATCATAGAAGCTGTTTTCCTATGTCTTCTGTCCTGATCCACACGCTCTCCAAGGACAGAAACTATTGGATTCATCTTTGTGCCTCTACAGTCTGATATTGCATTTTGAGTAATATTTGTTGATACAAATATGAATAGAATATGAATTTCATGCCCCAAAATCATGCCCTCTTGTTACCACTGTATTTTTCTTAGTATTTTGAAAACTATTCCAGGGGCCAGTGCTATGGCGTAGAGGGTAAAGCCACCACCTGCAGTGCAAGCATCCCATATGGGCTTCGGTTCAAGTCTCAGCTGATCCACTTCTGATTCAGCTCTCTGCTATGGCCTGAGTAGAAAATGGCCCAAGTTCTTGGGCCTTTGCACATGCATGGGAGACCCAGAGGAATCTCCTGGCTCCTGGATTCAGATCAGTCTAGCTCCTGCCACTGTAGCCATTTAGAGAACGAACCAGCAGATGGAAGACCTCTCTCTCTCTCTCTCCCTTTCTCTCTCTCTCTCTCTGCCTCTGCCTCTGCCTCTCTGTAACTCTACCTTTCAAATAAATAAACAAATCTTTAAATAAAAAAAGGAAAGCTATTCCAGCTTAGTACCCTAATTTTTTGTACTTAAACTTACAAATTATTCCAAACTGAAATGAAACCAAAAGCAGTTTTTTTAAAATACCATTTATTTTTATTATTCTCATCCTCACTGAAGTGCAAAAGCAAAATACCAGCATGCTTAATATCTATTAATTAGGCAGCTGACTGGCAGGATAGACTGGCCAGGCTCTTCCCTCACTGTGACTTTGGCAGGATAATTAGGTGTTTCTTTTACAAGGTACATTCTGAGAACGCAAAGTCACATAGAATGAAAATGCTATGGAAGTTCCTGCCTTTGTTTCCCAGGTCGTTGTTAACATTAAGATATATTACCAAGAATAAACCAAATACCTAAATACAAGGAAAGAACGTGTTCCATGTTAGGTGTTTTCCAACCACACTAAAAGAGGGTACTCTTGTTCCCAAAGATAAATGCAGTCTAAAAAGGTGATTTCAAATGAATAAAATACCAGGAATATACATATTGGAAACAAAAGCATATATAGGAAAACTTCCGTCTCTACAACGAGCTTTTATCTTGTCCTTATTTTCTACCTTGTCAGCAGTCTACTGATGGCAGAAATACTACTACTGACGGTAGTATTAATCTACAGTTAAGAATAAAGATCTCCGCGAATGAGATCCCAGTGGAAAGAATGGGTCATCAAAGAAAGAGGTACCTTTCTCTGAAGGGAGGAGAGAACTTCCACTTTGACTATGACCTTGTCTAAATATGATCAGAGTCGGTAAACTCAAAAGGCTTCCATAGCCTTGGCAGCTCATGACAAGAGCCTGGGGTGATTACTGATGCCATAAAAAACAAGAGTGTCAATTTGTTAAGTCAACAACAGGAGTCACTGTGCACTTACTCCTCATGTAGGATCTCTGTCCTTAGCATGCTATACATTGAGATTTAATGCTATAACTAGTACTCAAACAGTATTTTTCACTTTATGTTTCTGTGTGGGAGCAAACTGTTGAAATCTTTACTTAATGTATGCTAAACTAATCTTCTGTATATAAAGAGAATCGAAAATGAATCTTAATGTGAATGGAAGGAGAGAGGGAGTGGGAAAGGGGAGGGTTGCGGGTGGGAGGGACGTTATGGGGGGGAAGCCATTGTAATCCATAAGCTGTACTTTGGAAATTTATATTCATTAAATAAAAGTTAAAAATTAAAAAAAAGAATGTTAATAAACTGTGATATTAAATACATCATAGAAAAACTATATCACACATGAAAATTAAATCAAAATCATTCTGTTGCCCTTAAGAAAAGAATAATATTTAAGGATCAATTTCATATTTAATAAAATATTTATATACTATTTCACAGAAGTGATATTTTCCTAAATTAATATTTTAATAATATGAATTTTAAAGAAATACAGAATATCTATCAATATGAAAATGCTTCAAAAATAATGGGTTAGATCAATATCAGCTCACTCAATTCAAGATCTGTTTATTAACTATATAATGGGTTCACTAAAAAGCTGCTCATATTAGAAACTTTTAAAAATCCATTCACGTTGGGCTGGCACCGTGGCTCACTTGGCTAATCCTCTGCCTGCGGCGCCGGAATCCCATATGGGCCCCAGTTTCTAGTCCCGGTTGCTCCTCTTCCAGTCCAGCTCTCTGCTGTGGCCTGGGAAGGCAGTGGAGGATGGCCCAAGTGCTTGGGCACCTGCACCCGCGTCGGAGACCAGGAATAAGCACCTGGCTCCTGGCTTCAGATCGGTGTAGCTCCATCTGTAGCGGCCATTTGGGGGGTGAACCAACAGAAGGAAGACCTTTCTCTCTGTCTCTCCCTATTACTGTCTGTAACTCTACCTGCCAAATAAATAAATAAAAAATATTTTAAAAATCCATTCACATTAATAATAATTGCTTGTTGGTTTGTAACACAGAAAACATAATTTTCTTTATCAAGACTGACTATGAAATCCTAGAATTATGAAGTAACTCAAATTTAGTTACATAAAAACATTTCATAAATCAAAGTGGTACAATATTAGTGTATCTGAAACCAAATGCTTGGAACAGTTTATATTAAGCACACTGAGCTTTATAACAGGGATTGTAAAGGAGAAGCTATATTTTTCTAAAGCTTCCAGGATTATTTTTATATCTTTTATTTATTTTTAAATTTATCATGCAATAAAACTGATCTTTTTTTGATGCACTGTTCTATGGAATTTAACACATGTGGATCTTTATAATAATCTCCACAATCAGTTTGCAGAATAGTTCTGTCACTCTCCAAAAATTCTCATGCTAAACATGCATAGTCGTAGCCTCCTTCCACCCCTACTTCCCAGTATCCCTGCTCTATTCTCTACCAATGTACGTATGTCGTCTCAATAAGATCACGTAAGTATTGAAACCAGCCTCTTTCACTCAGCAAATGTCTTTGAAGTTTAGCCAAAATGTCACACTTACTAAACATTTTTCATTTTTATTGCTAAATAGTATTCCACTGTGTAGATATACCATGGCTTGTTTATTCATTTACCCACTGAAGAAAATTTGAGCTGTTTCTGGTTTGGAACAATTATAAAGAGGGCTTCTGTAGGGAACCATGTACAGTTTTTTCTATGAACTTATGCTTTCATATCTCTGTGGTAAATACCCCAGAATAGGATTCTGGAGTCATATGGTAAGTTCATCTTTTTTTTTTTTTTTTTTTTTTTTTTTTTTTGACAGGCAGAGTGGACAGTGAGAGAGAGAGACAGAGAGAAAGGTCTTCCTTTTGCCGTTGGTTCACCCTCCAATGGCCGCCACGGCCGGTGCACCGCGCCTATCCGAAGCCAGGAGCCAGGTGCTTCTCCTGGTCTCCCATGGGGTGCAGGGCCCAAGCACCTGGGCCATCCTCCACTGCACTCCCTGGCCACAGCAGAGAGCTGGCCTGGAAGAGGGGCAACCGGGACAGAATCCGGCGCCCCGACCGGGACTAGAACCCGGTGTGCCGGCGCCGCTAGGCGGAGGATTAGCCTAGTGAGCCGCGGCGCCGGCCTATCTTTACAACAAAATTGAAAATTGTTTTCCTGAATGGCTGTTGTATGATTTTGTATTTATACCAGTAATATATGAGAGTTCCAGTTGCTCTTCTATTCTCCAGGATTTCTTCCTGACAGTCTTTTAGCCATTCTAATAGATATTTAGTGGTATTTCATAATGGTATTAGTCTGCATTTCCATAATGGATAATGTTGATCATTTTTTCATGTGCTTATTTTCTATCCACATACCCTCTTGCCCATTCTTAGAAAGGACGGATTTTTTTTCTTGCAAATGAATTTTCTTCCCCAATATGCCTACTAGCATTGACTTTTCAGATTCTCCAAATAGCTGCTCTATACTTTCTGTCCAAAAACTAAAACTGGTGGCAGAGATAGACTGCAGCATATTGCTCTCATTTTACTTGGAAAAAAGAGCCTTCAGTAGAATATCAGTTTAAAAATTCCCAAACTTTCAAATTGGTGTATAGTTTAGAACCCTTTTACTTGATCAATTCTCTTCCCAAAATCTTCAGTGATTACGTTCTGGAATTCACTATTTCATCTGTGGAGTTTGCATCTGGGACCATTCACAGTGATTTCTTACAGCTCACCCTTCCTATAATTAGTCCTCCGTGCCACTGAAAGGTGCTATCTCTAAGGAACAGCAGAAGATTTGGTGCCTTTTATAGTTAGGAAGAAATCCTGCTAGAATTTGACTTTAAGTGATTTCTATTCTGTATGTCCAATCTTGACCACTTTCCAAGCAACAGACCTCTTTCTCCACTGCTGGCTGCGGTCCCATGCTTACCTCAAAACATTGTGCTCCCAAAGGATCTGTTTGTTCCTCTCCTTGCTGGTTGTTTCTACTGATTCATACATTCTACAAACATACTTACTGAGTAGGCACTATGTGCCAGAAATGTGATTCTTGATGGGTAGGCCTGGGTTATTGCTGAAGTTTACATACTTATCATTGAACACAAAATTACAACTTTCAAAGGCCTCCTAAAATTTCTAAAACAGGTATGACTTGATCAACTTTTTCACATAATCTTATAATTAATGAACTTTTTGTCTATTTTGTATTTTGCGAATCTATTCTGTAAATATGTAAGTCTTCTTTAGTAAGGCAGTATACTACTTAAGAATATTTTAGCATCAGCCATAATAATCACTTTTTCAGATATATATGTCTCACAATAATCTCTAAAGTGTTGGAGCTGGTGCTGTGGAACAGTGAGTTAATGCCCTGGCCTGAAGCACCAGCATCCCATATGGGCACCAGTTTGAGACCCGGCTGCTCCACTTCCCATCCAGCTCTCTGTGATGGCCTGGGAAAGCAGTAGAAGACGGCCAAGCCCTTAGGCCCCTGCACTTGCATGGGAGACCTGGATCCTCACTCCCGGCTTCGGATTGGCACAGCTCCAGCCATTGCAGTCAACTGGGGAGTGAACCATCGGATGGAAGACCTCTCTCTCTCTGCCTCTCCTCTCTCTGTGTAACGCTGAGTTTCAAATAAATAAGTAAACCTTAAAAAAAAATCTCTATAGTGTTAGAGATAAAAGATTACAAGTTATTCTTTATGTGTTAACTTCTTATCTAAAACTTTTAAAAACACAGAAAATGCATTGTGTGTTAAATGAATGTTTGAAAACACAGGACTATGACTATACATTATTTATTCAGAATGTGCCAGTCTTGGGAATGCTGCAACAAATACGCTGCCTTCATAATACTCACAGTCTAAGTTTTATTATATTTATAAATCCATTTGTCTCCTTATTCGCCTTCTCTCCTTTAAAAGTAGTTCAAAAACAAGCTCTTTATTGTTTACCTCTGTATTTGTATTCTTCTCTGTTTCACAGGGGATTAACCTTATACTGATATTCCTATATATAAAATATGGATCTCTTCTTTATCCAGAGTATCTAGACATGTTTTCCATTAGTCTGCCTACTCAGTCCCTATTCTTTGCTCATAACTCAGCATATGAATTTTTTTGAAATATCAAAGGTATGTAAATGCCAATCCTATCACATACAGCAACAAATGCATCAAAATCAATGAATGAACACAAAACCAGCTTATTTTACCTCTAATTGAATACTGAGACAGCTATGTTCAGTTTTAATTGCACATTACAAATGCATTTTTTTCTTTACAGTGAACCATACTATGACTCCCAATAATACTTTCCCAGAGGGTCTAGTTCTACCACCTGTAATAACAATGGATTAGTCACCTAAAAATATAGCCTTTCAAAGATGTGCTTTCTAAAATTTTCCCTTTTTCATATTAAATAGCTATCATTCTTCAACTATTCATTATATAACATAGATTAAATACTTTTAAATAATATTTAGACTGAATCACTGACATAAGCAATAGCAGTGGGTCGGTTATATTGTTTTCCATGGCTGCCATAATAAAGTACAAATCACCAGGTGACTTAAACAATAGAAATTTATTGTCTCAAAGTCCTGGAAGCTAAAAGTCCAAAGTCAAGATGTCAGCAGGAGTTGCCTTCTGAGGATTTGGCTTATTTATGGCTAGCTTCTTCCAGTATTCATATTCTCATTCTCTCTATCTTTCTCTCTCTCTCTCTCCATATATATACAAATATATATTTTATATAATATATATATTGATGTCTATCTTTTTTTAATAAGGATATCAATAATACTGGATAAAGAGCCACCATAATGAACTAGTTTTAACACAATTGTCTCTGTAAAGACACTTTTTCTAAATTAGGTGAAATTTTGATTAGGACTACAACATATGAATTTTTTGAAGAAGCAATCCAACCCATAACAGTCTGCTCTATGCAAAATACATGTACCCCAACCCATATCCCTAAAAGTCTTCAATCATTCCAGCATCAACTCAATGTCCTACATTTCATTTAAATCATCCAAATAAATCATGGGTTAAATTTAAGAGCATAAGTCATCCAGGCACAATGTTTCTTTCCACCTGTGAACCCATAAAACCAAACAAGTTATCTGTTTCCAGAATACAAAGGTGGGATAGGCATAGGATTGACATTCCTCTTTCAAAATGGAGACACTAGACAAAGAAATCAGTCATGAATCTCA